ACTGTGTTCTTTTGTAAGACTTCACCAAGAGCTTGTGCACCTTTATCTCCGATTTTATTACGTTCGACGCGAAGGTCTTTGAGTGCCTGTATGAAATAAGAAAGATGCAGATGAGAGAAATGCATAGAACGGTGTTTTGTCTCACTCCATTCTTTCTATTTCGACACAGAAAACAAGATTTGATGCGTTCTTAAATTACTGAGAATCGTTTTTTCGTGTGAAAAGTCTAAACCTGAGTTGATAAAGGATTGGATAAAAAGTTTATGCATCAACTGAGCATTTAACAATTAGTAAAATTCTTATTTTATTTGTTACACCGTCTTTTTATGAAGGTAGACACTAGAAGTTTGCTGCGGATGATTTTAGTAGAACTTTTCTGAGATTGATGGATTATTTACATTTGGAATTTTTATGTTTAGTCATATAAGAAGTTTGGAAAAGTGAGACGCGTATTCATCGAGATAGTAGCCTTAGAAGAGAAGAATAATTTTTCACTAGTGATTAATTTATTTGTAGTTGACAGAATAATAATAAGTAGTAAGGGAGTTCGCTGAAGTTATAGATGTCAAAGGTTACAAACATCAACACTGCTGAAAAATTGTATATGATGAATGAAAAATTACGTGGATATCGTGTTTCGAGAAATTGTATTGTTTATTGTTTGAAATTAGTGATGTTAAAATCAAGATAGCAGAGGGCTAGAAATATTTAGTTAACATTATTGATGCAGTAAGAAAGAAAAAATTTTGTTTTAAACTTTTCTGATTGTTACTAATACATCATACAATGATTGACCATCGAAGTACACAGAAATTAATTCGAGAAAGGGAGTATTTTCAATATATACAGAAAAAAGGAAAGAGAAGTTGTTTGATCGATTATTAATGAACTTCTGATGAAACTATCGATCTTCTCAAGCAGAAATGAGCTTTTAATAGAGAAATTAAAAGATTTGCACAAAGCAAGCGAAGAATATGTGTCAGATAACATAATCATTGAACAATTAGGGTTATTTAACTGAATTGAAGTTCATCAAACTGACTTCTTTGTCAAATCAAAATAAATTGTTGAAAAAAAATGAAAAGTTATTAGAATTCAACGGACACTTGTTAAGATGACAAGCAACAATAATTACAGAAATTCAATATCAACTTTTTCTCAAACTACTCATTGACTTGTTTACCTAAGATATACATCTAAATTAAAAGTATGTATGATAATCTGTTTGAATGAACTTCATTTTTGTCAGTTATTTTAGACACAAATAAAAATCATTTGTACATTATTCAGAAAAATACTTTAGTGGCATTTTCTTCATCACAAATATTTCGTTTCACATCTTGCTTTCCGAACTGTAGAATAAATGACATATCCGTGAAAAGTGAAAATGTTTTCAATGTGGAAATCAATTATCGTCAGCTGCAAAGTCTCTGTTTTGCTCAATCAATTGACAAACATGTTCTCATCCATATAAATCTTTTTGTTATTTAAACGAGATTGAAATGAAATACATCTAGTCGCGATAATCTCCTCACTATTATCAATGAAACATCGATCCTTTTTAAAATATTTTCCCACACATAACAGGTCAGCTTAGCATTTTAGTGAAAAGCGAATTTTGTTGATCAATCAAAGTCAGACGAGTTTATTCAAACACTTCTCTGAATGTTTCTAATTATCTATAACAATAGTTGATTTGAAACAAAAGTCGTTGCCTTTAATAATCTTCATTGATAATATTTCTAAACTTCTACAAAGATCACAGGAATAATGTCGAAAGTATGTTGTTCACCATAACGGGTATCTCATGCTCTAATAAAGAACTTCTAGTTCTTCGAATGTTCTTTAACATTTGAGAGCCTTCAAGAATTGCTCGTTTTCAAAGCTGTTTCGAGAATGAAATAGATTTAATTTGATTGTTTTCGATAACTATTTATTATCGGAAGACGAAAAGAAGAAGAAGAATAGTTCTTATGAATTCAATTTAAAAGAAAATCGTGAAGAAAAGGATATTTTTGCAAAATGACAAGAATTGATTTCTATTATGACTCATGACTTAACCTAAGTTTCTTCAAGAAAATATTAAACGATATCTTGTGGCAATCGATTAAACCTTTCGTCTAAGCGAAATAGATCTTCAAAACACAAAATTTGTCTTTTCTTTGTACGGAAAACAACACGAGCATTGCTATGAATTCCGATCAATTCATTTTTCTTTATATGAAGTACTGTACTTCTATCAAATTAAGATCTCGTTCAATACCTTCTTTCATTGTCAGATTTCTTATCTCGATGAAATGACTACAGATGGACTTTTCTTGCTTTATTGGATAAGCTTAATTCTTATGATATTTAATGAATCTCAGTCAGTTCATTTATTTATACATTTTAATATGAAGATATACGCATGATCGATTTGAAAGAGTTATTGAAGAAGAAGTAAGAACTATAGCGACGTAAAAGCAGAAAAATACATCACAAACACTCTTAACCACTTGAAGACGGGGTTACTGTTACGAAAATAAAGAAAATTTTCGAAATCTTGAGCGAATTTATTTATTCATTTTAATAAAAAAAATATACAGATCAATTAGGAGTTGATTCAAAACTAGAGGTATATATGCGTCTCCCGTCTTCAAGGGGTTAACAGGAGATTTAACAATACTGTTTTGTAGGATAAGATAGACTAGTCACCAGTTCTTTTCTTTTCCGTCCCACGTATAAAATAAACTTGTCAGTACTCACGGTATTATTTTGTAAAAGATAATACGCCACGATAACCATGTCATCATCCGTCAAATTTTGCTCAGAGAAGTACACACAGGATACATCTTTTATTTTATCGATAAATTCTTCAAGTTGTTCATTTCTATATGTCGGTGGCTCTGATAAAGCAGTCATCGTTGTCTTTGATTCTAAATAGACAAATGTGAAAAATAAGATACATTAGTAGAATTGTATGAATAAATAAAAATTTTATATTTCGTTAGTATACCTAATTATTTCTTCAAGTGCGTTTTGAAAACTCAACTAGTTTTAAAGCATATCGAAAATACGTCAGTCGAAAAAAATTAATCTCGTTTTCGACTGAATTTGTTACTTTTTCCATATATGAATTATTCTATCGAGAGTGAGTGTGTATGTTAGTGCGGATGTAGATGTTGGTGTGGGTGCAGATGTGATTGTGGAATTGGTGTAATTGATTCCGTGTGCGGAACTGATTTCTAAAATGTTCAACATTGCGAAGTACGATGCATTCTCTTTTACTCATGTATGGAACTATTTGTAAAATCGATCGAACAGATAGCCTTCTGAGATTCACTTCAGTTTTTCGTTCATTGATAGCGATTCTTGTTTTATCAGACTCGACGATCCTAAGTTTCATTTACTAACACAGCTTCAATCTTCCTTTCTAATAAACCTACCATCGATTAGATATCGAGCTATTCAAGTATTTCTCTAACTTTCATTGGATGTGTCAGTATTCTTTCTATTTTCATCATTACAGTAGCTGTTATGGCATTAACACTTACTTGCGGGAAAAATGAATATAAATGAAATTCAACTGCTTCTTCTGCTACTATTTATTTGTCGTTCAAAGTGTCGACATTAAAAATTTGTATTAGCATTTTTTTTTCTATTCTCTCTCTTCCTTTTTCTTTCCACTAGTTACAGGCATTCAATCTCCCTAAATCAAACAAATTCTGCGCATAAAATGTAAATGTAAGAATGAAAAAAACCTGATAAAACTCATTCAAAGAAAAGGAACATCTTTCTCTTCCTTCTCAAAGTGTTTTTTTTCTTGTTCGCGAGAAAATGCGTTTATGCTTAGATGGTAAGAGAGTCGGCAGTTGTGCTTGTAAATAATTATTTTGTGCTTGCATTAGATTTTATTCTAGTAGAGAATAACATAAACATTGCCACGCTTTGTATGGCTCTGTTTTTCTCTCATTCATTCCTTCTGCAGAGAATAAAGCCTCTTCTTGCCAACAACCTTCACTATATCAAACGCTATGGGTGTTGATTATTCATCAATATCTGTACTCATTTCCATTGTGAGTTTGTTTTTGCTCATGTATTTTCAAATTTTTCTTTTACGTTTCTCACTCTTACATAAGATTGTATAACATTTATTTTCTATGATCATAGTTTTTTTCAAGGCTTTATTCCAATATCATATGTTGTTATCAAGCATAGAAAAACTCCATTTGTTTTTTTAATCGACTATTTTTATATGTTTTCAACGCACATTTGACTAATGATATAAATTTCCGTATTCTTGTAGCTTTTGATCCTCCAGATGACTTTCATGCATTTAGTATGTCTTTTCTGATAATCGACAAAACCATTTGACAATCATCTTTTATATAAATTATGTAATATTAAAAGTTGTTCTATCAGTTTCTTTTATATTTTTCAAGCACACAAATGTTCGATAAAAATAGTAAAATTAAAAAACAATGACGAGAGGTAAAGTAATGAAAAATTAAAGAGCCGATCAACGAGAAATATTAATAAAAATATGGGTGGATGTAGGTCAAAAAGAGATGAATCCACACTCATGCCGTAGTGTGTCTTCCCAAGGTTTTCAAGATTTTTCATAACATAGTTAGAATGATAGTCGCCAATTACTGCTTCAATAATTTTCATTAAATGACATTTGAAAAGGCAAATATTTATATCTATGCTAAGTTTTGGATGATTTTGTCTATATAAACTTTAGATAATTGTTTGTTTGAAAAAAATATCTATCAAAAAAGGAGTAAGGAATTATTTTTCTTCTCGTTCATGTTAAAAGACGAAAAACAATTCGAATTGAAAAAAAATTGTTTTTTTTTCTTTTCTTACTATGCTCTGAGTAAGATAACAAAAGATTGTGCAGAAATAATATTGGTATAGTTTTCGAAAAATAAAAAGAAGTATAAAATATAAACAACTTTGACTATAACTAAAAAACACTTTCTAGTTCATGTATATCAGAGACGGGATCGGTTCGTATTTTTCTCGAACCGAACCGAACCGAACCGAACCAAGCCAGAATTTACAACAATCTAACGAATGTATTTAAATATCAAATTTTGAACGAATTGAATGTCTCGAACCGGTCCCATCTCTGGATAGTACTTGAGTTTCACTTGACTGCTAAATGTGATGCGAAGCTCGATTTCAAAATAATGATTTTAAGGTTTTCACAACAATATCTAGATGATTCATTATCTATGATCAACTGCAGTTTCAGTTGTGAAATAGTTGTTACAGAAAAGTGACGCTTCACTTTTGCATTTCATTTTAATTATCTCGAAATTTAGAAAAGTTCGATCTTGATATATTAATCTCGCATTCAAATGGGTATTTTCTGATGTTCCATTACTGAGATCATTCCGTCACAAAAAGATCATTTTGAATGTATACGTCGACAAAAAAAAAGAAAGAAAGAGGAAAAGAAGATTTGCGAAGAACGACGTAAATGCTCTACTTCGCATCGCATTAAAAACGTTCTTTTTTGTACGAAGATGTACGACGCTGTACAACGATGTACGACCTCGTATTTTAATGACGTACGTCGTACTTTTACCTTTCCTTTGCGCATCGCACATTTTTTTGACTATAAAAACACATACAGAATATTACTCCTCTCATTCTCTTTCACAATATGTCATCAATCAAAGAACGTGTATTTGTCACTGCAGCTACTGGAAACATCGGTACTGGTGTTGTGCGTGGTCTTGTTAAACAAGGAATCGATACAACAGCCTATGTACGAGATGAACAAAAAGTCAAAGATCTATTTAAAAAAGAGCTCACTACTGGTCATCTCAAGTTAGTTGTTGGTAGCTATTCATCTATTGATGTATTCACAAAAGCAATTAAAGGACATACTCGGCTCTTCCTTCTTGTTGCTGCCCATGGTTTGAAACCATGGTCGATGAGTCAAATCAAAGGAGCTCTTGGTAGAATCGCTTTTGAACAAGGTGTTCGTCAAATTGTTGATCTCTCATCAGCTTTTGTTAGTAGCTATGGTAAGAAAGGCATCATCGGATATGTACATACAGCAGCTGAAGAAAAGCTATGGGCACTTGCTGATGAAAATCCTGAACAACGTTCACTTGTTGTACTTCGTCCTGGAGCGTTCATGACCAATCATTTTAGGGGTGATATTCATACAATCAAGCACCAAAATAAAATTGCCTCTTGTGCATCACCTTCATCGAAATCAACTTGGATTGATACAAAAGGTGAGTGGAAACAACGAGAATTTATCAAATATCAAAAATATATTATCAATTAATTATTGACAAGAAATCTAAAACAGTTTTTGATGTCATGTGATATTTAACAATGATAGATGTTAATATATTTTCTTTTTTTTTTTCTTCATAGATATCTCCGATTGTGCTGCAGTTGTTTTGAGTGAATCAGTAGAGAAACATGATCGTAATGTCTACGAACTGGGTGGTGAGACATTAACTGAAGAACAACGAGCAGCTGTCTTTTCGAAAGTACTTGGTAAATCTATCAAGTATGAACAACAATCAATGGAAGACTTCTACAAAGCAAGTATTAGCCACGGCTTGCCTCATTCATTTGTATACCATTTTGCACTGATGGCTTCAAAAGACATCTGTGACAATCCTACTCCCGAAATAGCTCTTATTATCGGTCGACCATTACGTACACTCAAAGATTGGGTAAATGAAAACGTCAAAGCATTTCAATAAAAAACTGTTATGAAACTACATTTTCTCATATTGTAATCCTTTAATCTTAAAATGAAATAAAATATTAGTTGGATAGTTCCATTAGTCGCATAATATGAAGTTTTTAACAGCCATTTCGATCCAATAGACTTCTAATGAAATTGACTATCTTATTTATTTCTGCCAAAATAAATAACTTTGAATTCACATGTACTTATAAAGTTCAACAATATATAATTATTTACTCATCAATAAATAAAGAAAAAATAAATCATAAAGTTAGGTGTGGGTGTAAGTATAACAGAGACTATAACTAAACCCGCTACCGACTCACACCTTCATCCACACGCCGAAAAAAGTCAGATAGTTGGATGAAAATCGCTGGAAAGAGAAGATCTTTACGCTCGAAAACATTACCTAAAATCTAAACTAAATACATAGGGGTGTCAAAAAGTTCTCGTAACAGCAGCCTAAAATTTCACCCTCATTGATTTTATTCTTCATGCTGGCCTATTCTGGTAATGACACCTGTTATACATTAAAACACCAATACAAAGTTTCATAAGTGTCTATCACGGCAAATTTTTAACGAATTTTTTGAACACCTCTGTTTTCAGATGGATAAACTGTGTATACACTCGTATATAAAAACTCGTCTATTATTAGGCTTAACAGTTACACAAATTCATAATGAATTAGCTGCTGTTTATGGGCCAGATATAGTTTCATATAGTACAGTTACTCGGTAGATTCAACGATTTTTAAATGAGCGAGAGTACTTGGAAGATAATCCTCGAAGTGGTCGTCCGTTATCCGCCATCATTCAACAGAATATTGATGGAGCTAAAGATCTGGTGAATGATGATCCACATATTATTATTGATTATGTTGCTGCCATCTTAGATACAGTTATCACATCACTTATTGTAGTGGTTACTCGAAGATATTAGTAAAAAATTTACCTAAGAGAAAATCATCATCAACAGAAGATAGCATAAATTTGCATTAAAAAAATGCAGTAGTACGCATGGAAAATATTGTCCTCCATTTTAATTATCTTCAAGAAGAAAAAATCAAAGTTATGGCTCATCCACCATATTCACCTGACCTTGCACCTTCAGATTTTTGGTTGTTCAATTATCTGAAACGTGCCCTTTATACATGCCCAGATGCAACAAGTCTAGCCAAAATGTTATCCAGGGAGCTTCATTCAATACTTATTCACGAATACCAAAAGACATTCCAGAAATGGATTGAAAGGATGAAACTCTGTATAGAACATCACGAGGACTACTTCGAACATTTACTATAAAAAGATCAGCAAAATGTTTTCTCTATGGATAAATATTTGAAAGTCCGAGAACTTATTGACTGACCTATGTATTATAAATAGATTCATACAATGGAGAAAAGCGAGATATTCAATCATCAATACATTTGAAAATGTAAAAGAGCGAATTTTTAGATACATTCAAGTTTCTTCGAGAATGAAAACCGTACTATTCTATTTTACAGATATCGAATATATGATCAATTTTAAAGATTTATTTCGAAAAAAAGAATTAGAAATCTATTCAGAGTTCATTATAAGAAAATATAAGTCATTTTCGAAAGATAATATTCAGACTCCAGCTTTTTTTAGTTTTAATAATTCTGCCTGTTGATCGACATAAATCTAGAAATATAATACAATATGATTTGAAATAGAAATCCATCTGATATTGACATACTTTATCAAATGCTTCTAATAGCTGATCGATTCTGTCGGGAAAATTTTGAATTGGATCAAAATATTGTGAACGCATTCGACAATCTCGTTCTTCTTGAATTTCTGATTGATTTAATTTTTTCAGACCTAAAATATTAATAGACAACTATATTCTACTAAGATACATCAATCTTCTCTTCAGTCATACTCTCCTCTACTCGTGAAAAAAATAATTTTGAAAATGAATGGCACACAAGTGAAGTTCTGAAGTCATTTAATCTAATTGACTTGAATAAACCAAATAAATCTACATACCTGTCCATCGTAAAAATTTCTTTAACATAAATGATAACATAATTTGATCTTCTTTTTGATTCTCTTTCGCATGATGAAAGCCATTATTAATTATTGAAAGAAACATATTGAAACAAAAAAAATTAACTAGAAATATAAATAAAGTAAAACAGAAGGGGCCAAGAAAAGCATCAGCTTCAGTTATTTCTGATGAATCACATTTGATTAATGTCATTTTAAAAAGCATTTGAGCAGTATTTAATAAACTTGAACATAACGAAAGTTTTGATACAAATAATAAATAAAATAAATTAAGAAATGCCATAAATACAATTGCAAACATTATTAAAAATGAAATCAGTTCCTTTGCACAAGATTTTAATGTTTCGGCGAGCAAAGATATTCGTCGATTAAAACGAAATAATTCAATAAATTTAATCGTACTAAAAAAACAACAATAACCAAGAAGAAATGTTAAAATATCATTAACATAAACTGCAAGTTGTAAATTTATATAAACATATCCGTTGGTTTGTTCAAATAATTGACTTATACGATTCGTTTTTTGAAAACGCCAAAAATAAACTCCAATACTTCCCAATGAACAACCAATAATACCCAATTGAATCATTGACCAAAATTGATGAAAATATTTTAATCTTAATTCAAGTAATAATCGAATTTCAATAATCATAAAATAAATAATAAAAAATATATAGAAAATTGTACAAACTAATTGTAATATTGATGTAAATGCTAAATTTAAAAAACAAAAATTTATTTGTCTTTACAAATAAAAACTAAAGAGTGAATTACTGTAAAAATTAATTGGTTCGAAATGAGCTGTTGTATAAACACCACCTGTTGGTAAAAATTCAGCAAGTAAAGTAACTGCAGTTAATAATTGAACACTTGGATTATATAATGTTAGTTGAATAAAAACAGCTCTTGTTTTCTCATCAATCCAATCTAATCGATGAAGTGCAGATAAATTTGTTTTCATATCAGATAATCGACCACGAAATTCATAGACATAACCACCACCTCTATATGTTCCAAATTCACCTACATACGAATATGTATCTAATTCATCACTCGTAGAATAGTTGAATGCTTTTAGAATCGATGAACTATAGGCTTCATCTTCTATTGTTTCATTTTTCCATCCTGGTTGAAATAGTTGTGTTTCTTCATTAAAAAAACTATAACTATCTTCACATATTGAAATAATACGTTGATCGGGACATAATTCTGATTTAATACGTAATTGTCTCATTGTTGCCCAACCAATCAATCGACTAGATTTATCGTTCAAAAATCCATTTAAATATTGTGGAGTATCTCCATTATACCATTGTTGTGCACGAATATTTGAAACAAAACTATTTTCTAACCAGTACCAATATTCATCGATTGTATTGATCTAGAAAAACAAAATTTATTTTCGATACATGAAAAGAAGAACAAACATTAGTATAATCAGCAGTCGTTTGTCTTTGATTGAGAAAATAAGCTCGTAAATGATTGACTTGAGAAAATAAGCTCGTAAATGATTGACTTGAGAAAAAGTATGTTGTTCACGACTTGAATAAGTTATTATGAAAACTAATATGGCAAATATAAAATAAATAATAAATTCTTGAATAATTGCCCACATTTGAATTTCTTTTAAACGTTGATCACGAGCAGAAGCAATTTCATTTTCATTAAGACGATTAATACTTTTTCGAGATTGAGAAGAAAATATTGAGCGATACTATAAATGGAAAATTAATTTTTCTATGGAATTCTAAAAGAAAACAAACCTCAAGTGAATGAAGATACTCTTCATCATTAGATATATTAAATTCATCATCTTCATTTATATATTCACTTGTTTCTTTATCATCTTTTGAATTTCGACAAAAGCATATAAAGAATATGGCCAAACATATAATCTTCAATGAGAAAATATTTCAAAAATATAGATTAAAAGTAAGTAGAAAGTATACTTTAATAGGTTGAGTGAAAATAACTGATGAGAAAAAACCAGTAAGAACAGATGTTAACCATTGTTGAGTTTTGACATCACCAAATTCAATTCCTCGAACAATGATAAAAAATATTGAAACAGCAATAATTATCATTGAAAGACCATAAGCAATAAATAAACACCACCAAGGAAATGTTATTATAGATTTCTTTTTCTTAATTGCAGGGATATCTTCCGAACTACTATAATTAAGAATGTGAGTGTCGATGAATGTATTTAGAAATATATACGAACATTTTTCGAGATGGTTGTATCTTATATAATGCTTCACGTATCAGTGCAATTTGTCGACGAGGTCGAATACGTCGAAAGAATTGAACAATTAAGAGACTTGGAATTAATGTAAATAATTCGACCATTATACCAATTCCAATCTTAAATATAAAAAGATGCTTTCACTAATCAGAAATTGAAAATTTTAGAGACATAGGGGTGTGAGTGTAGTCTATATTTTTCGCTATAAAAATCAATATATACCTGTTTCGGTGCTATAGAAAAAGGACCAATTGATAAAGCACCACTATGTGTTTCACTTGATGCGTTCGCTTCATTTGATAAATCATAATACATTATATTGATTAACATTGAAGTAAAGAATAAAACAAAACAACAAGTACATCGCTGAACACGCGTAAATTTGTTTGATGGTGGACGAGAAAATATTGAAAACCATAGATGACCATCGGATACACTATGATAAGCTTTTTTTGATAATACATATGAAAATTCTTGCATTTCTTCTTCACTAGCAATTGGTAAAATTCGTTCGATCTAAATTGAAGACAAAAATAAGAGATAGTATGTTTTCAATTACACAACTTACTCGTCCATCATCTTTTTCAACTGCAAACCATTGTTGAGAAATAAAATAAAACTTATCCAAAGTTTGTAAATCTCGAACAATAATATATTTTAAAAACCATGATGCTGAAGAACCTTCACCTGTATTATCATGCCAAATACGAATATAATTTAATAATCCCAATGATCTATATGTTAATCTTTTATAAAATCTTAAAGAAAAACTAATAATTTTACTTTGGAACAGCAATAATAAAAGAATTAATTCCACCACGTTGAAAAATCTTTCGATGAGGATCAGAAAATAATCGAATTTGTGTTTGATTATTTTCACCCGATAAAACAAAATAAACCTTGCAGAAAGAAAAAAAGAAGTTTCATTCAGGTATTTTCTTTGTACTATCTTACTTTTGAATCTGTTCCAGCATTTGTTCTTTGACCAGTAAAAACAAGAATTTGATAATAATAATGATCAGATTTATTATTATCAGGTAATGGTGTAACTCCCAACTAAAACAAAAATACATATTTTGGCTCTATGAAATATATAAGATAGGTTTTAAGTTTTACTTTTTCAAAATCTTTCTTATCTTTAAAACATGCATAAATCATTAAAATAATATAAATTATTGAAGTAAATATCATTGTTAAATAAACTGTTTTATTTTTCATAAAATCAGCATTTGCAAAAACATAACTCCAATTAATTGGTGCAGGTAAAACAATAAAACCACCAGCAAATGTTGTCAGATGAGTTGAGAGACATTCTGTTTCATAATGGTTTGTCGATGATCCAACCTATGGTTAAATAAATATCAAATAATCTTTACTTTCTTAATTCATCTTATACTTACAATTAATCCATCTGATTTCCAATTATTATTTTCATCAAGATAATAACAACCTGATGTATATATACGAAGTTCATAATTCGATGTAAAATTAAATGATTCATCGGTAATTGGTAAAGACGTATTTATTGAAGAATTATTTAAACAATAATTATTCATTTCAGTTGAATTTAATTCTCTTATTCCAAATATTAACGATTGATGACCAGGTGTTTGTTGATTATCAATAAAATATCGATATATATCATCATTGGTTAAATCTATAATTACAAAAAAGAAATCTATATGAATGTTCTAAAAAAGAAAACATACTGAAGGGACAAAACATTGTCCATCCATCAATGAGATTAATTGAACTATTTAATTGTGGTGTTTGATCAAATTTATAAATAAATAAATAAGCAAGACTTCTATTTAAAGAATGAATTTCAAAATGAACTGAAATCGGGAGAGAACTTGTTATATTAATATAATGATAATTGAATAATAGATTATTAATAGTTGAATTAATTGATGTAACATTTTGTAAATACATTGATGGAATTAATACATTTGGATCACGAGGAATTATTAATTTTATTGAATTATTTTCATTGGCTTTAAACGAAATTTCATTTCCATTTTGATCGATAATTGAAAGTGAAACTGATCTTGAAAGATTTGTATTTTGAAAATTTCCATATGAAGCAAGTAGATCTATTTTGGACTAAATAAAACAAAAAAATGATTTAATAAAAATGATTCAAATTATAGAAAATTACTCGAAGTGAAATTGAAGAATTAGACGTTGTGTTTAAAATAAAATCTGATGGAATACTAAACTGAGCATTTTCAACTTGTTTCACAAGTCTATCCTTGAGTGATTGAATAGATATAGTTTCTAATGATACAAATGATTGAGATGTATTCATTAGTGAACTTTGACCAATATTCAAATGAATATTTAATGAAGAAGTTAATAATGATATGATTTTTGTTACTTGACTATTGATTTGATTTGCTAATTGTTTTTGATAATAAATATTTCGATTTTTTTCAATTGTTTTAGTAGAAAAATCATTTCCATCAGAAAATAAATCTTCAGAAGAAAACAAATTTAAATTCATTAATAATTAATCATTTAAAAGATCTTACTTAAATTTGACCATGCAGATTCAAGATCAGTATCATAATCAGAAGATATGGCATTTGCACGAGAATTATCTAAATCAAGTACCTCTGTTCGTCCTTGTAATGGTGGATTCACGGCCTAAAATTATTAGAATCGATAATTAAAGAAAAAAAAAATCTTTTTATGTTAAAACTATTGAAGGGTGTGGGTGTGGGTGCTGATTTCATTTCGTATCATCGCCCACACCCACAGCCTCAAGAGTTTGATAGAGAAGTGAGAATACTGATTTCATATATTTTACGTTTAAAATATTTGAAGTACATTGAAAAAGTTGATTTGATGCTGATTGAGCATCTTCATATGAGATTTTTTCAAACATTGCATATAGAGCAGCAGATAATTCATAGCATCTATTTGATACAAGCATCTACAAGTATTCAACAATATAAAAATCTTCAACATAAATATTCTTTATAAATTTACTAAAGTATTTCGTGTTAATTGATTTGTTGATTGAGTTAATTGAACTAATGATGATGATTGTAATATAATACTATTTGATGTTGTTATGAGAAGATTAGTTATAAATGTTACTAGATAATCTCGAACATTTGCCAGAGAGTTTAATTCTGTATTATAATTAATCAAAGCTGATTCATTCAATGGTATTGAAATCTATTGTAAATAGAAATAAAAATAAAATAAAATCTATTAAATTCAATTACTTGTTGCAAACTTTGACTTCCTAATAATGATACTGAAATATCTACAGCTGGTATTCCATCTAAAACAAAACTTATTTTAATTATTTCTCATAAATTGAATATGAATATTTACTTGATATGGCTTTATCTAAATTTTCACTACTCATTTGATTGAGTTCCTGTGATAATGAAATGATCATTTGTCCAACAACATTTTGATTTCCACTTGAAAGTAATCGAACAATTGCATTATTTGTTATTGTACTCGATGAATTTGTTATTTTATCAATTAAATCATTGATTATTGCCATATCTGCAATAACATTAACAGAAGATATATTCACTTGTGTAACAGAATTCAGAAGATCTCGAACATAAACAACAAGATTAAGTAATGAAGTTCCATTATCACCAGCTGGTAATCGAACTTGAAAATTATCTTCTGGTGAAAATGCAATTATTGTTCGTTGTGATATGTCTGTGGTCCACGCTAAAATTACAAGATATGCAAAAGTCAGTTGGTAGTGAAAATAAAACATACTATATAACGAATAATCTTTTATTCCATCCACATCATACCAATCTGGACACTCAATAGTAAATAAAGTAGTTATAGTACCACTAAGAGGATTGATTGAACACGAACCATTTGCAGGCGGTTGATTAATAATAAAATTCAATGCACTTGTACTTATTGCAGATAGAAATGTATAAACAACTTCAAAACGCCAAAGACTTATTTGAAGATTATTAAGAAATAATTGATCTGTTGCTGTGAAATTACTTGTATTTGTACCTAAAATAATCAATAAAAGAATATATTTGATAATTAAGAAAACAAGATTTTTACCAAAAAACCAAATATTTTCATATAGAATCGTATTATTAAATAAAGTCCATTGAGTAGAATTTGAAGATGTTGAATTGTCGAATCCTTGATAAATATTCCATTTGATACTTTCAAGATTTGTACAGGTTCCAATACACACAGTAAATAGAGCAACTTGTGTTGTTGGATTAAGAAGTTGAAATTCAAGATTTGGAACACACATTGGTGATATTACACAACTAAAATAAATAGTTTTTATTAGAATGATTCCATTAAAAACTCATAAATAATTTACCCAACAGCAATCAATTGTGGATGAGTAACTTCAATTGTAACAAGTACATAACCTGTTGCTTGAATAGAAGAATTCTTACGATTTTCCATATAAACCATAAATTGATAGATTTGATTTAATTGAAGTGAACCACCGAGAACTGTTAGAGATGAATTAGGTGATGATGCTAAATTTCCGAATATCAATCCTGTTCCATTTCCTTTATGCAAAGTAATGAAAAGAAGTGTTTTAATAAAGATCAGAACTTCAATAAAATTAGATTGTTATGAACAATTTTACCTGATCGACTGGATAAACATGATGGATTATAAGGATCAATTCTTGAATCATCAATTGATAATAATACTCCTTGTATATTTGGGAAATTATATAAATCATAAATTCGACAATAATACGTATATTTCCATTTCTATGATTAAAAATAAAATAACAATTATTTAAGTATTCATCTACAGATATTTATACTTACAGTTGCATCAAATGTATCTTCGTCAGGATCAACTGAAAATGTTCCAGGATCAAGTAAAAGATCCTGTTGATCACCTCGTGTTATCATAGATGTTCCTAATTGAACAAGATTTGCTGTTATACCTGTTGCAGTGATTCTCACATAAACTGAAGATGATGATTTTAAATTTGGTGAATCAATCATTGTTACAGTTAATGTTAGCTGATAAACACCATAAGCAAGTGTTCTTGATGGAATATAAAGTTCACTATATGTTGTCATAACTTTTTCATTTAATACAATTTCAAATGAACATCTAGTTGAAGTACAATTCTTTATTGTCCATGTTGTAGTTGTTGAAAGTGAACCATCACAATTAAATTGAATCATTGAAGTAATAGAAAAATCTTGACTACGCCGATACGACATTGGAGATGACAGAGATGATTGACCAGGAATCAATGTAATTGTCGGTGAATAGCAAGCTAATTTAGAAAAGACAAATCAATAAACTATTTTTTATATTATTCATATTATTACTTTCATTGATATCTAATCTTTGAGAAGTTGTGACGGAAGCCGTGCTACTTGAGGTACTGCTAATGGTAGTGGTAGTATTACTTGTGGTACTGCTACTGCTCGTGGTAATACTGCTTGTGGTGCTGCTGCTACTTGTT